GTGTGTGTCTCTATGTGGAAAATAAAAAGGTACAAATTATGAATAAAAAAAACAAAGCTGTATATTTGAAATGAAAGGCATTGAATCAAGTTTTGAAATGTAAAAGCCAACACCCTGCCATATTCCTAAGCTAATTGTTATATCGCAACTCGTTTTGAGTTTGGCAACTGTACCCACTTTGGGATCTGTCGTTATGCAACACTGCACATTGCAACACTGCCAATTTCAAACAATCTCACATACCAGCGTTCAGTTGTTCTTTTTCTGTTGTTTTTCTTTTCCAAGTTGCAAGTTAAAATTTAATTTTCTGCTAACTTCTTTTTAACCACGTTTACTGGGTCTCATTATCATCATCATCATCATGCTCCTAATGCTGATCGCTCTCTAGCTCTAGCTCTCGCTCGCTCTACACCTGCCTTTAATAACGATATAAAATAGCCTCTAAATACTAAAAAATAATTTCTTTGCTGCTCTCTAAACTTTGCTCTTTTCTTCGCTGTCGTTTTCAACGCGCACGCTTCAACCTCACGTAATCTTGTTATCGTTTGTCTTTTTCTTCAAAAAAAAAATGCTTCATCGTTTATAATTATTATTTTTAATATTATTTCTTAATAGTGTTTGGTAAGCCCCCCTCATTTATTATTTTTTTTAATTTTTATTTTCTTAAACAGAGCAATTAATAGCCAATAGTTAGTTAGTTAACTCAACCACTCTGCTCTCACTCCTTCGCACTCCCTCGCTCTATCGCTCTCGCTCTCTCTCTATTCTCTTTTTCTCTTCAGCATTTGGAATTCTATGCAAAATAAAAACAATGCAAGTGTTCAAAAACATTGCCATGTTTTTTCTAGTTTACATTTTTGGAATTTTTTATAAAAATTCGTTTTACGCTTTTTTTGTTTTGTTTTTTGTTATTTTTTTTTTGTTTCGTTTTTTTCTTCTTTTTTCATCTCATATATATAATTATATATATAGTTAAATAAAATGCTTGGACATCGCCGCCAAACATGCATAGGTCATAGGTCATAGTTCGCTATATATAGTAGTACATAAGTATATATGCTCTTTGTATTGACAACTTTGGACATTTTTCCTATGCGCTTGCGCAAACTTTCAAGACGTCACACAAAAAAAATTATATATATTTTTATATATATATGTATGTATAGTCAAAAAAAAAAAAATAAAAAAAAAAGATTACATTCTCAATTATAACAAAACAAGTTTCCATTATTACGCATTTTTCAACATATACACATACATATGCATATATAAATATTTATAAATATTAAATGTTATATATGCCTAGAAAAACTCCTTTTATATACACTTGATAATAAACCCCAACTTCATCATCTTCTTTTTCGTCGTCGTCGTCAAGCTACACAAAAGGTTCAGTTATATAGTCTGTAAAGGTATTCTTCTTCTTTTTCTTCTAAGTTTTCATTAAATAGGAAATAGCATAATTTGAACAATTTCTCACTTTGTTAATTCCTTAATGGGTCTGGTGGATCTGGGTCTGAGTCTGAGTTTCGGTCTGTATCTGGATCTGTCATTTCGGCATATAAAAATAAAGGGGCATCTCTCACTAGCATATATATAGAATATATATATATATATATATGTTTATATATTTTCTTTTCACCTGTGCACTTATGTATCCGATTTCACTGTGGCTCCAAAACAGTGTTGGTAAATTGCGAAATCGACTATGCTTTGGTCTAAACTGTACTCCCGCCGCTCTCCCTCTTTTAACTTTGCTCTCTTCTTTGATATGCCTTTCAGTTGTAGTTGTAGTTGTAGTTGTTGTTGATTTTGTTGTAGTGGTTTTTGCAGTTGATTTTGCTGTTGAGTTAAATGTTGCATGAACTCTTCAGGTTTCACATTGCTTAAAAACTATCATAAATTAGATTTTATGATTATTTTCATTCAATATTTTGTTTTTAGTTTTTCTTTTCTGCTTTTGCTTAGCTCACACTTTACATATTCGTTAGGTTGCTCTTTTGTTTAGCTTTAAGTTTTATTTTAACATTTTATTTCTTTTACATTTATAATTTGTTTTGTTGTTTTTTTTTTGTTTTTTGTTTTTGTTTTTTTTTTTCCATACAAGATAATGCACTTACATTGAGGTATTTTAATTACTTTTCAATCTTCATCAATAGATCTTTTTTTTCGCATGTTTCTTTCCTGTTAATATAATGGGTATGCCGAAAAAACATCTGTCCTAAACTGTCCTAAAACTGCCCTAAAATGCTTGTATATGCTCTTCTCTGCTGTTGATCAATGTTTGTGTTAGACAATTTTCGAATTTGATTTGAGTTTCCTTCGTTTTTCTGGTTTACGCGAAACAACAACTTTGAATTTTCATTCTTTTCTTTTTTGTTTTTGTTTTTAGTGTTCTGGCCGAAATGTTGATTTTTGTTGTTCTATTTCGTTTTTAATGCACGAATATAACAGTTTAAAATGCAAGTGTTATATAGGCAAATTTAACGCAAAACCCGAGCTGTTAACTTTCTATTGTAATCTATATATATATATATATAAATATATATATATATATATATATATTTATGTATATATAACCAACTTAATGCAGTAAGAAAACAAACAAGAGGAAATTATGTACTAATATATATATATAAATATATATATGTGTGTGTGTGTAAATATGTATTCATGTTATGTATTTATGTATGCTTGTATGCATGTGAATGCAATGTTAACAAAACAAAAAAGTATGTAAAGAAAAAAAAAAAATGTAATAATAAATCGTCACGTTATATTCTATTTATGTATATTTCAACAAAATTGGGCTATTGTCTTGGTTCTTGGGTATGTTTGATTGTTTGTTGCTCCGATTCAGTTACTTCAGTTACGATTTTAGCAGCTATGGAAAAAAAAACTGTTATACACTATAAATATCTATATAGTTTATGATCTATAATAGATCTTATGCATGTATGTGTTTGATGTGTTATCTCTTTTATTTTATGTAATTTAAATAAAGTATTTTTAAAAGAATGACAAGTTTGTTATATGTACATTTGAGTATGTACGAAACAACATTTAAACTATGAAAAATCTATATAACCATGGGTCCGCTTTTCGGCCGATCTCATGTTGATCATGAAATATATATGATGATCCGCACGGATAGGCCTGAAAGGGTCCGCATATTGAAAGCTATGTGTAATATAGTGTAGGTCGTGTGTGTGTGTGTGTGTGTGTTGTGATTTATATAACAGCTTGTTTTGTTCCAATTTCCGTTCATTTCAACTTCTTTTTTTTTTTTTTTGCTTTAATATAACACTTTATGTAACACTTGTTGCTCGTTTTTTTCGTTATATAAAAATTAACATTTCAGCACCGTTGTTTTTGTTTTTGTTTCAAGGCAAACAGATTACAATGCTCTCTCACTTTCTCTCTAAATAACTCTGGCTCGCTCGCGCTCTCGCTCCGACTCTCTATCTTCTCTCTCTCTCTCTCTCCCTCTCTAGCTTAGTTCGCTCAAACAATATTAACAATTCAGTTTCTTTTTCTTTTTTTTTTTTTTTGTTATATACGCATTCTCGAAATCTCAAATTCTCAATTCTCGAAAACTATTATACAGCTGTACACTAACATTGCTTGCTTGGCATCAGGTGAGAGACACAACTTAAATTATAAACTATATAATTCGTATGCCTATATAATTATGTGTGTGAGTGTGTGTGTGTGTGTGTGTGTGTGTGTGTGTGTGTGTGAGTGTACTGTTATATGTTTCTGTTATGTTATACTATATAGTTGTCATACATGTGCTGCGCGACTCAACTCTAACTGTCGACTTGGCGCGTATAAGAGTTGGTTGCGCTGTCTGCTGGCTGATAAATCTAAGAGTACAGACAAAATACATATATACGATAAGTTATATACATATATACTGTATGTAGACATATATGCTCCTATGGAAAACTCTTCTATTGACTCGCGCATTGAACACTTGTGTGTGTTGTATTTTTGTGGTATTTACGCTTCTCGCTACAAAGATTTGTTTTTTATTTTTATTTTACATGTTTTTGTTTTTAGTTGGTTTTCACTTGTTTTGTTTTGGTTTAGTTTAAAGGGGTTTTATAGTTTAGTCGTAGCTTTCTACTACTCTGTTTTTTTTTTTGTTGCATTTTTTTCTTGTTATTTTTTCTTGCATTTTTTTTTTTCGTTTTGCTTTGAGGTGGGCTAAAGTTGACACCTGCTTGCAATTTGGGTTTTCTTCAATTAGGAAATACGAAAAATAATATTAGTAATTATAATAATTAACATACAGTTTTTTCCTGTTCTGTTTTTTATGCCGCTGTCGTCATCTGATTTGTGTTCTTGCATACAATTAATAACTGTTACAAATTTCAAATTTTCAAATGCAAATACGCTTAAAAAAATTTAAATAAAAAAAATGATATATATATACATATAAATATATATATATATATATATAAAACAATCATAAAACACACACACAAACCAATTGATTGTTTGGTTCTTGTTTATCTCACTTTTGTTTTTTTGTTTTTTTTTTTCTTGTGTTCACTTAATTTACGCTTACTAAAGTTGATTAAAAAAAATAAAATAATTCATTAAAAAGTTGTAATTTTATGTTTTCTATATATTAAAAAAAAAAAAAACGAATTTGCTGCTGTTGCGATTTTTTGCATTTGTTTTTTTTTTGTTTTCGCTTTTGTTTTGTGTTTTTTTTTTTTGCATTTCTTTTTGTTTTTACTTGTAAATTTCTTTTCATGTTGCAAAAATGTTGAATAATTGTTTTTGCTGCGGGGGCTGTTGCAGTTTTGTGTTTAAGCCTGGTTTAATGTAGCTTTTCCTTTGCATCAGGCTTAATGCAAGTTTTTTTTAAATAATAGCCTGTGTGTGTGTGTGTGTGTCTGTATCTGTGTGGTGTGTGTGTGTGTAAAATTAAAATTATAACAAAGGTTAGGCAGCGCGCAGTCACATCACGAGAAACAACAACAATTCAATGCATTGCCGTATAACAGTTTAGCCCATTTATTGGAACTGCGCCGAGTTTTATTATTATTATGATTTTTTTTTATAAGCAAGCATTTAATTGTTGTACACAAAATCTGGTAGCTCTCCCCTTTGGGCGTCTGCAACTAACTTGCAAGAGAGGGAAAGAGCGAGTTCTCAGCCGCATCTGCCTTGTTGTTGCCGGTTGCTTTTACTGCTGCTGCTGTTGCTGTTGCTGTTGCTGTTATTGTTGTTGTTGTTGTTGCTGTTGTTGCGGTCGCGATTTGCTGTTATATTCTGTTATATTTTTGAATTTAGTTTGCTGCTGCCCTTGCCAGCAGTCGAGGGGCAGGCATTTAGCGCGTTTACGAGTTTATCGAAGTTGAGGGACGAGAGTTCATCTTCTTCTTCTTTCTTTCTTTCTTGTTGTTGTTGTTGTTGTTGTTGCTGCTGCCTGATTATATAAAGCGGAATAAAAGTTTATGGAAAACTGCCACGGCAAATCCAAATGTTGTTGTTATTATTGTTGTTGTTGCTGTTGTTGCTATTGCTATTAATGTATTGTATTATTGTTGTTGTTATTCAAGTTGTTTGCTGATGTATTTGGGTTGCCCCCCCCGTCTGGCCCTTCCCTATCCCCATGCATGCAGCTTACTGCTGGGAGCTCGCCAGCTGCTGCTGCTGCTGCTGTTGCTGCTGTTGTTGTTGCTGCTGCTGCTGTTGGGTGGCGGCCGATGCGTTGCCGGGCGGCGGCGACGGCTGCTGCTGCTGCAATTGATGTGAGGACGCTGTCGACGACGCCTGCTGCTGGTGATGCGCAGGTGGCGCCGACGACGACGCCGCCGACGATTGATGATGCGATTGCGGCGGCAGCGGCTGCTGCTGCTGCGACGGCGACTGTTGCTGCTGTTGTTGAGTCCCACTTGGCGCAGCGCCGGCTAGGTTCTGCTGTTGCTGTTGCTGTTGTTGTTGTTGTTGTTGTTGTTGCAATTGTTGTTCTTTGGCAGCTTTCTGTTTTTTGGTCACTGGTGGCGGATTTGTCGATAGCATCATGGCGCGAATTCGCCGCTGTGCGGACTACAAAAAGAGTGAAAACAATTATTAGTTAATATCAGTTTATGGAACGAACAGTTGACAAGAATAGTTAGTTCGCCGGGCCACATACCTGAACGCTGTAGAATGGCCCAATGATGTGTACAGGTGTTTCCTCATCGCCGCCTGAAGGTGGCGCCAGCGCATGTTCTGGCAGCTTAATGACGCTACCCGTCACACGTTGCAGCTCACGCACGTTCTGTCCGCCCTTGCCAATGATGCGTCCGACCTGTGAAATACAATTATCTTTAATAAGTCAAATTTGACGATATAAGCAAGCGTCTGTATCTCATTCAGTTCATGAAAATGTTGTTGCACATCCTTGAACACAGGTTTAGGTTCAAATATTGCCCAGAAACCGACCAAAATGGGTCACTTGTCACCCATTTTTCAACCGTGTGCTTGGAAGAATCGTGCGTTGGTCAATCAAAAGTTTTAGCTTATCTATAGACACCTGTAGACGTATATACACACCTGAGAACTGGCGACAAGTAGCTCAACGGTAAGGCGGACATCATCGGTGCCGCACATGAAGCCCTCCTCGCGCATCTTTTCAAATATCATGTACTGCGCCTTCCACTGACCCTCCGGTGTGCCAACAATCGTGACCTTGCGCTCCGTTTGTTGGTCCAGCGGCTTGTCGGCGTCGAGGGGCGCAATTTTGAGGGATGCGCTTGAGAAGCGCATTATGCTGCGTATGTGCGATCCTTTGGTGCCAATGATTGCCCCAACGGCATTATTCGGTATATACAGATATGTCGTCTCCTGCATATCGTTGGGGAAGGCCGGTGGCACCACGCTGGCCGGTGTCTTGGACATGGCAAAGCTTTGACACGAGGGGAACGGCATGCTCGTGTTGAAGACCATGCCGTTGCCCGGTGTCGACATCATTGCCATGGGATGCAGACCGGGGAACATAAGGCTCTGAGGCGCCATTGCCTGCAGATCGTTCTCATAGCTTTGGCGCAGCTTGGTACTGATTTGGTTTTCCGCACGTGACATATTCTCAATCAAGCCCTTCACCGTTATGATTCGCTCCAAATTGAAGCTATTAATGTCATTAATTGAGCTAACGGTTATCTTCGTGTCCGTATCCTGCATAATGCGTTTAATAGTGTTACCGCTCTTGCCAATAATGCGACCAATTAAATTATTATGGGCGAGTATCTTCAGGCAGATTTCACTAGAATCGACGAAAGGCAGGAGGGGGCATCATGTTAATATCGACCGGAATGGATAAATGAACTGCTAGCTAACTTAACTTACCCCTTATTCGTGGACAGTGCCTCCTGTTGCATAACCTCCAATATGCGCTTGCATGCATTGGTACAATTCTCCGGATTGCCATAGATGGTAATGGACTTTTCGAGGGAGCCGACATTCTCCTTGCGATGCACATCGACCCGGGCGCGACTCTGTTGTGTTATGGTCCGTATGGTACTACCTTGTCGTCCAATGATCGCGCCCACCATTTCGCTCTGTACCAAAATACGCAGCGGAAAGTCCGCCTGGCGTCCAGGACCCGGCATGCCGGGATACGGATTGCGCTGATTGCGTATGCTCCGACGTTGATTTTTGTCCAATTGCTCTGCGTGCAGTTTACTGCCCTCGAACTCGACGCCGTTTAGACCACCAGCAGCTCTATGGGTAGAAGGGTAAGAAACAACAAGAGAGAGAGAGAGAGAGAGAGAGAGAGAGAGAAGAGAGCGCGAGCGCAAAGAAAAACAAACGGAGAACAAATTAGAGATCAGTATGAGAAATATAATTCTACAAAGAATATAGTTTCTGATGATATACATATGTATGCATAGTGTTGTGTATAGATATAACATTTACGATATGTGTATTTGATAAACGATTTTGGAGGATCAAATCAGATCAGATCAGATCAGATCGGATCAGATCGGATCGGATCAGATCAGCTCAGACATACATAAGTGCAATAGGCAAAAGATAGCTACTAAAAACACGCCCTATGTAAGCAGCACAACACACAAGCCCCGCCCACAGTCACAGCCAAGTACCGCCCCCACCGGCACGCCCCCAAAGACAGCCACAGATGCGATGCACTCAAAATGTCAAACTGCTAATTACTAATTTAAAAAAAATATAAATCGGTAATAGATATACATACATATGCATACATATACATATACATACATACATAAACATACAAACATACGCATATACATATACATACGCATATATATATATACATATATATATATAGATATTTGAGGTTAGAATTTCGATAGTACTGAAATATAGCTGAAAAACCAGCGATAGTATCGATAACTGTCGATGGTATCATGGTGCACCCTATGCGTATGTTCTGCGTGTGAATACCCTTAATATAGCACCATCAATGGTATCGATATTTATGCTATCGATAGTTTTCCATCCATTATATACGTACACATGATTTGTAATATGATATATAATTATTTATGTATACATATATATTTATATATATAGATGCATCAAATTTGAACTTAACACGAGATTCACACAGCTTTTAGAACCACGAAGGGAAATTTTTCAAATCAAGTGAAATCTTGTGTTAGGTAAATAATTATTTGTTATCTTTTTTTTAGCAGAATTGTTCATAGATTGGTTTTGGTTGGATTTAATGTATATACCTTTGCGCCTGCTCAGGATTTTCGAATGTTATATGTACTGTTTGAGTATTTTGATCCTTACTAGAAATAGCCTCACATTGTTTGACGATGCCATAGGGCTTCAGTAGCGGTTCGATGTCTTCGAAACGTGTCTGCAGCGGTATGCCGCTTATTAAGATTTTTGATGTCGTAACACTGTGAAGAAAATAGCGTAAAAACACACACAAAACAAAAATAGAAAACAAAGAGAAATAAAAAAAAAAAAGAAAAGAACACGAACGGAAAGGAAAACAAAAACAAAACATTAAAAAGAAATAAAAAAAAAAAAAATAGAGGCGAAACAGAAAACATTTTTTTTTCCAATAAATTAACGAGATAACAAAAAAAATAAATAAAGAAATAGAAAGGAAAAAAAGAGAGCAGAATGTCAGTAAAAGACTCAACAGCGCAACTAACATCTAGAGAGCAAGAGAGCAAGAGAGCAGGAGAGCGAGAGAGCGAGATAGCGAGCGTGGAAAAAGGACTGCGTGGATTCTTATTGCTTTTTTTTTTTTTGTAATTTATATTTTATTTATTTTTAATAATTACATTTTGTTTTTCTTGCATTACGGGGCATGGGTAGGGGCTGTGTGCTGTCGGTGTGTGGCAATGAAAATGCAACAAGCTTCAGATGAGAGAATGTGTGCACCCGCAGGAGTTATACTAAAGAGAGTAAGAGCGAGCGAGCGAGCGAGCGAGAGAGAGCAGGAGCAGGAGAGCTAAAGCAATAAAGGTGCGAGTGTTGTGCAGAAGACCGAACGCATTCACGTGACTATTTCAATACTCTAACAAATATCTTGGGGCATAATTCGTTGATTAGGGGCCCTATTTTCTATCATATGTACATACATACATTATTTAAATATACTTAGTTTATAAGCGTTACAGTTAGACAGAGAGAACTACATATGTACATAGGCATTTATGTACATTTATGTATATTTATAATCCATGTAACTACACATGTGTCTATGTATGCACATGCCAGACAGACAGACAGACAGACAAATAGTGGAGTGGGAGGGAAGGAGAGGGTGATAACATCCTGTTGCTATAACGGCACCAACTGCAGACATCTTAAGCAAACTGCAAACTGCAAACTACAACAAATACAACAGCTACAACAACAACAACAACAACAACAACAGCAACGACAACGGCAGCAACTAAAAGTTGCTGTTCATTGCTTTTTGGCGCTTCAAGACAAACAACAACAGCAACAACAACAACAACAACACGGTCAGCAACAAGATCAGCAACACTGCAAAAATCTCGATCGGTTGCTGCTGCTGCTGACGGCCGCCACCGTCGACTGGAATGTTGCACATTTAATATCGTGTTTATTTTTCTTGGAAGTAATTTCACTCCAGCCGAAGCCGAAGCCGCCGTCGCCACAAAGACCCAAAAACAAGAGCAAATAATAAAAACAAAAAACTAAAAAAAAAAAATAAGAGAGCAAGGCATGCCGAAGTATGTATGTATGTATGTATGTGTATGTGCATACAATATGGGCGATTCCAGAAGCCAGCAGCAAAATATAAATTTTGTGCAACCATATTATAAAATACAATTTTTAATAGTAGCTTTTTGTCAGCGGGATAAATACAATTTGTAGACGATTTTGCTTTTGATTAAAAAATATTGCATTATTACCTACACAATTACATTCATACATATGTATGTATATAACAAAAAAAAAGGAACTATCTACTTTTGTATTATTTTCGTTTTTAATTAACAGGCTTTCAGCAATTCCAGCGAAAATCGCAGCGTGTGGCAACTCTATTTTATGAATGAAAGCGCGCGGCTTCCGATCGCCGAAAGAGAGTGAGCGACAGTGTTGGAGAGCGAGCGCATAAGCGAATTCGCACATACAAGGCGAAGCGGCGTATGCGTATGTGTGTGCGCGCGTTGTCGAATTGAGTTTGTCAAACTGCAAAAGCAACAACAACAACAGCAACAACAGTTTCACATACCGGCCGCCTTCTTCAGCAGCAGCAGCAACAGCAGAAGCAGCGGCAGACACATTCCATTGCCACTTATGTTAGTCTCTCATCCGTCTCTGTGTGTGCTCTCTTTTAGTTTGATGTTCGCTGTTGCTCTTTCTATTGCTGCTATTGCTTTTATAGCACTTCATGCCATATTTGTTTGTGTCTGCGCCTTTTACATATGCATGCATATATGTTTATATGTGCATATATGTGTTTCAGTTTTTTTTTTTTTTTTTTTTTTGCTGCTTATTTTTCCAGGAATTGAAGTCGAAACGACAACGAACAATTTGCTGCCGCCGCCGCTTTTTTTTTTTATATTTTTTATTTTTCTTATTTCCTTTTCGATTTGCTGCTGGGGAGTTGTGTTTTGTGTTTTGGCTTGTCTTGCATTTTTCACTGAGCTGCTTCCTAAACTGTGTAACTGTTGCGCACAGTTTGAACAGCATTGCGCATGCGTCACATACAACACAACATGTGCAGACTCTGATGTTTATGGGATGTGCAGGATTGGGGGCGGGGGCAGGGAGATTATGGGCTATGAGCAGGGCCACACTGCGCCCACCACGCCCATGGCCACAGCCTCAAATATGTAAATGTCATTGCTGCAGTTCGTTGACGTCGCCTCGTGCACAAGCACCAATAGGACTTTGACTGCACCTACTCTGTTGCGCGCTCTCCTCTCTCTCTCTCTCTCTATCACTATTGCTCACTCTCTTTGTAACAGTCTCTGCGTGAGAGAAAATACCTACATACATGATGTTTGCATGTGTGTAAAATATACACTGTGCTCCAAACGGGTAGAGTTAATTGGTTTTGTGGTATGTGATAACTCTTCTGTTGTTCTAGTCTAGCATTTAGTGTCATCAAATTGGACATTTTGACAGTTGATTAGCTTAAGGGTCACAGTTTAAGCGCAATTAACCCCACAGTCGGTATATTCTTTAATATGAACGTGATAAATAGAGTATTGTGCAGTCGGTAAGATTGCGACTTTGACTTTTAATATTTATCTTCTTTTTTGTATTGGACATGTGACAGACTGAGGCGCCTCAGGCGCCTCAGCTAAGCAATGACCTCTGTTGGGCACTCTCTCACATTAACACACACACACACAAACGTAGGCAGACACGCACACACAGCCACCTGAGCGCGCTCGCGTTTGTTTTTGTTATCAATGCACGCGGCCCTTTTGCGCCTCGCAATCAATATACACACGATGCATATACATACATACATAAATGTATGTATGTGAGTATACGTTGGCAGCGCAGTCGACGTCAACGTTTACTCTGCTCTGCTCTGCTTGCAGTGCTGCTTGTTTATTTTGGCATTAATTTACACATGCATACATATGTACATATGTGTAAGGCTGTGTGCATATTATGTATGCATGTGCATGTGTGTACATATTTTAGTATGCATGCAGCATGTGTATTCAATTTATCAACACATAAAGGCGTTGCTCGTTGCATTCACACCAATGCACACACATACACACACACGCACACACACACACACACACGCACGTGTTGCATCATTCACCTTTTTGCTCCTTTTAACAAGGTGCGTACATGTATGTACATACAATACATGTGCGCCTGTGTATGTGTGTGCACGTTTCATTTGCTTCTCCTTTTCTTTTTTATTTTTTGATGCGTTTTATGAATGAAAAAGTCAGAAATCTGTTGCACCGCCGCCGCCGCCGCCTGCTGCTGTTGCTGTATTTGTGTATATCTCTTTGTATTTGTATTTGCATTTGTATTTGTAGTGGGGCTGCAGTTATTTTTTTTTTTTTTTACATATGAATGATTAAGTCTTATATACGCACATACATGTACATGTACATATACATGCATGTGCATAGAGCGCGTCGCACTCCATGACGCATAGTTGCGTGCATGTATATGTATTGGGTTTGCCCGTTCCATTGCCAAAGCATTCCACATGTTGCTTTCGCGCCGCAATTGCTCATTTTGCGGTGCTGCTGCCGCCGCAGCGTCGCCGACGACGTAAGCAACCGTTAGTTTTTGCTGTTGCAGCTATTTGTCTGCATCATTCTCTCTCTTGCTCTCCGTTTTAGTTCTTTTTCGCACCGCTTATCTATTGCCCACACTATTCACACACACAGCCAGTCATAGAATATGGGCTTTGTCAACATACATACATACATATACGTTTCTGTGTACGTATGTATGCATTACTGTACATACATATGTATATACGCAAACTTGTTTTCTGACAGCAGTTGCTTTGTTGTTGCTGTTGTTGTTGTTGTTGTTGTTGTTGTTGCCGTTTTGACCTAAATTGGCCGGCAAACAACAGCAAAAAAAAAAAAGAAAAAAAACAAAACGCATATAACGTGCATGTGTGTAAATGCGTGCGTGTGTGTGTCCATGTACACACGCGTTTTCCTAGCCGCCGTCTGCAACTCCCCCTCCCCCACCCCCACCCACATCGTTGATGCTCCAGCATTGCAAATGTAATTCTATTGCTGTTATTATTATCGTTCTTTCTTGTTTCTTTCTTTCTACTCTTGAGCAAAGCAAAATCAAAATAGGTTGCTTGCCAAATGCAGCTTGTCGCGGGGAGGAGGAGGGGGGGGGGGTGCGGGGGGCATATGGCAAGCCATAGTAATCGTGCCACAAATTGAAAGACTTGCACTTGCAACCAACCGACTATGCAATACTCTACTTTGTTAAGAACCTTCCAAATAAAGGGATATATGCAGTTAATGGGAAAGGGTAATCAATAGCATATTTAAGAGAACGTCTGCATTTTGAGGCTTCTTAATTAATTTTCTTTTTTTTTTTTTGTAAATGTAAATGCAGAGTTGGGAGTTCAAGAGGTTGCCGACCCAGATAGGGTATATTGCAGTTATAAGCCTTAATTTCTTTTTTTTTTTTTTCCATTTTATAGATCTATGTATATGTTGACACACTTCTTGAATGTAGTTGTTTGTTCGTCCACCCAGTTGGCGGAATTAAAGATAATTATCCCTTCAGGGCTCCGCTGTTGTCTTGCTCGCAATGGAAAGTACAATTTTTTATTTACAGAAACAGGCAATATGGCAAATTTTGCAGCAACAATTTGTAGAGCAAAGGTTTATGTTTGGGATGTATTCAATAATAATTATGTATTAATAATACATTTGGAATGTATTATGAACAATCCTCTCTGTTCCCGTCTAAAACAAGCTTACATCTTGCTGTTGAAAAGTTGGCAACGCCGACAACAATATGATCTACAACATGTGCGGCAAGTTATCAAGCTGTTAAGCTGCTTAGACGTTTACCAACACTTAAAACACACCCGCACATTTTCGCCTTATAACGGGGCAAGCGCAAGAGCGAGCGAGTCAGAGTAAAAGACACATTCGACAACAACAACAAAAAAAAAAGACACTCACCGATCATAAAAACGTACTAATTTTGTACTTTGTTGTTGATGATGATGGTTATAATAATGATGATTGTTGTTGCTGCTACTGTTGTTGTTGTTATTGTTGTTGATATTGATTCTGTTGTTGTTGTTGTTGTTATTGCTGCTGCTGATGTTGTGGTGGATGTTGTTGTGGTTGTTGGGGTAATTGCTGCTGTTGCTGCTGTGCATTTTAAGTTTGTTTTTGTTTTTGTTTTCTTTTTGTATTTTTGCTGCTGCTGCAATTTCGTTTATGTGTTCCTCCTTTTTTTTTTTTTTTTGGATGTGTGTATCTCACGCCCTCTCTATCTTACTCTCGACACACACCAACACTTTTTCGCTTAACAATAAAAAAAAATACGTCTGCTCTCACTTTTCTATTTGTTGTTGTTCTTTCGTTCACCGTTTCTTTACTTCATAGAAGACTCAACTCAACTAAAAGAGACACATGACAAAATTGAGACGAAGCAACACCAATGAACATACAGAGACACACATACACACACGCACACGTAAGTATAAGAGAACGCGAGCGCGTTAAGTGGAATTACAAATACAATTTAAAACGTCGCGATCATGACGCCGACGCAAGCCGCGCCGCAGCAGCGCTCGTTCATTTCGTAGGCTAAACGCGACATATACACACGTCACACGACACATGCACACGCGCATATGAACGAATGAGTGAGTGAGTGAGTGAGTGAGCGAGTGAGAGCGAGCGAGCGAGCGAGAGCGAACACTTCATTTGCCTCAGTCTCGCTCACTTGTTAATCACACGCAGAAATTGTGCTACTGATATGATTATGATTTTATTTTGTGTCGTTCTCATTCTAGTTGTTGTTGTTAATCTTTTGTCGCTGCTGCTTTCCCTTGATTCATTTTTTAGTCACGCGTATGAGCTTTAATTCGCTGTCTTGTGCAACCAATTTGTGGAGGAGGCGCAGCCACAAAATTCTAAGGCATTCGCTGACTCATAGAAATGAGCGAAAAATAAAACAAAACAAATAAAACGCAATAATGAGCGAATTGCGCATGCTCACAATATGCATCCACGTGCTAAATTTATCGATAGTCGAGTCGCTGCCTTTCCGAAAGCCATGCATATATTTAAATTGCAAAGTTCGAAATATTTTCAATTTGTACACGCACAATCGCATATGTATGTGTGCATGTGATACGTGTCTGGCTAATTAGCGCACAACAGGCACGCTGTTGCCGCCCCTCTTCCACATATGTATGTATGCATATGAGCATACGCATATCTACATATGCGAGTGTACATGTATGTACATATGTATGAGCAGCCCATATGTAGGCGCATGGGCAGCATTGGCGCCCGAGCAAAAACTGTCGTTTATGCAGTGCTCAAAATTCGGCTCAACCGAATGCTGCCGAAGCACAAGAGCTTTACTGCATTGAAAACAAAAACAAAGCTGCAAGCCGATCAACAATATATGTATGTACATGCTCACATTAGCATTGCTGCTCTCTCAAATTTGAGAGAGGCAAAGCCGGAGCGACAGTAGAGCACAGACTCCGATTAATGACTACACAAGTCAGAGTCGACCAAAGTAGGTCAGTTTACTTGGTTGTTGGTGTTGCTTTTGGGCTGGGCGCAACTAGTCTAAGAACGGCGCACATGTCAGTGCGTGTCTAAGTGCACATGTATGCATGTGTGTGTGTCTGTGTGTTTGTGTTCATGTTTATGTGTGTTGCTTGCATTAATTGATTTTTAATGTCATTGGTTGTTTGATTTAAGCGCGTTCCATAATAATTGCCGACGTCAGTCGCTGCAAATGCAAAACCAAAAGGCGAACTAGAAAGCTACTCGTTAGGGCTGAGTATGAAAACAGAAACAGAAAAAAAAAAAAAAAAAACCGTTACAAACACAGACGCCGGCTAGTCGTATCGCCATAACGGTACAACATGCATATGTATGTATGTTAGTTTTGCATTAGTTTGTCTCTCTTCTCTGTCTCTCTATACACTGTGCACACTCGCATACACACATGCATGTGTACTTGCATAGATAAAGGAAACGACGACAACGAAAAAACAATAAAAAAAAAAAAAAAAAAAAAAAAGAAAACCAAAATCGTTGACTTGCAAAAACTACGCAAATCTACGAGAGAGAAACAAAAAAAAAACCAATTCGACACATCTTTTTTTTTTTTGTCGTCTACGTATGTTCATACATATAATTTTGAGCGAGTTTTTTTTTGTTGTTGCTATTTTCTACTCTTTTTCATGGTCTTCTAATAATCATCACTCACATTTTCACAGCTTGTTTCTATTTGTTGTTGCTCTAATGTGAATATCACTTAAAGCTTTAAGCTAATTTTGAAGAACGCAACGCAGCACAATTTTGGTTTCTTTTTTTTTTTTTTGCGCCCACGACGACCAGCGACCGATGACTATTACAAAAAAAAAAATAAAAAAAAAAAAGTAAAAACAACACGCAGACACTGACACCAACAACAGCAGGCGTAAAATATTTTATAATTTTTGCTGTTGCTTTGCGTTGCCGAGCCGTTGAATTATTATTCTTTTCTTTCTTTTTTTTTTTATTGTATTTGTTGCTTGCCAACTACGTCGCGTATTTCCGAAAAAGACGACCGCAAAATGCAAAGAGCATTTAACTACTGAAACTGAAACAGGCACGACAAAGAGCAAGGCGCAAAACAACAGCGGCGAATTGATGGGACGGTAAAGCAAAATCGCAAGTGGCCGCGTGTTGGAGCACCGTTAAGAGAGACAGAATGAGTGGGGGAGAGAGAGAGAGAGAGGGAGAAGAGCGAGAAGCAGGCAGCCGGCTACGCGGCTGCAAAGCGACAATAAACGCAAAAGTAGTCGCCGTTGCTGTTGTTATTCTTACTTGGGATGTGCTGTTGTGTTGGTGAAGTGAAGGCAGGGCAGGCAAATTCATGATTAGCGCGCAACACTTGCGCAAAAAAAAAAAAAAAAAAAAGAAGGGAAATCGACGAAAAGCAACAGCGGCAATGGGCATAATGTAGGAGAAATGCGAACGCGGTGTTGCCAGATAGGGGCAACAGTTGTTAGCCCCAAGTTCCATCTGGCAGCGCCTAAAACACTGCACTTAGAAAGAAACAATGCGGTTTACCCTTATTCAAAAAGTAAACATATTTCCCGAAGAAATTTCGAATTTAGCATAATATAATATATGTAATTACGTGAAGTTTTTAATTTAAAAAATAAATGATGCAATATTATACATACTTATTGTATGTATAGCATGCAACTAATCTTGCAGCGCTAACATTGACTGATACGACAACTCTGTTGACGTCTAACAAGTGTAGCGCGACAAAAGCTCAATACACAGAACGCAGCAGCAGCAGTCTTTGTAAGCTTCACCAACCGGCACTCTCGCGCTCTTTTTAAATTGTTGCGCTTTCTCACGCACACACACACACACACACACACACACACACGCATGCATGTGCTTTTGCATGTGTGCATGCAAGTGTACATGCAGATCTCTCGCAAGACAAGTTGTTATTGCGCGCTTGCTCTGTGGTTTTATTACGTATTTTCGTGTTCTGCCCGGCCACAGAAAAAAAAAAGTGCAACAATTTACCCCGCGATTACGTCACACGTTCGCATGCGTAGCGATATGCGCTTAATTGTGTGCGTGTATGTTGTCAGCAGCAGCGACAGCGGCAGCGTGCACGCCTCAACTATTTGTTATTTCCGGTCAATTGTTATGTTATGTACATTATTGTTAACGGTGACGTCGTCGTAGGCGCCGGCCGGTTTGTTGGTATATTTTCCAACACTGGCAGCAGAAAACAATATTATAATGGAAAAAGAAAAGTTTGGCACATACATACGTATGCATGCAAGTACATATGTACATATGTTTGTATATAAATACATATGTATGTATGTTGACCGCAAAAGCGGGCAAAACTCCGCAACTAAGTAAATAAAAGAAAAACGGTAAAAACAGTTGTAAGCAGTCGGTCAGGCAACAGCCGCTTAAGGTTAATACAAATTTCGACTTCATTTCGGTAGTTCAATGGCCTCAATAAACAGCAGCGGCAGCAACAGCAGCACGACGCTTACAGCCAGCCGGCCGGCCGGCCGGTCGGCCGCCCTGGTTAGCTTTTGATCGTAAATTGCTGATAACGCGCGGCGCAGCAACAGCAACAGTAGCTAGCAGCGCAGCGACGTCGCCTAAAACAGAGCAAGAGCAAGAGCAGCGTTGCCAGCGCACGCGTGCTTAAAGCTCCTCCCTAACATTATAATAGATCAGTACGTATGTTTGCATGTGTGCGTTAAGGGGAATACTAACAGCACTGTTATTGGGTTGGGTTGGTTTGCTTTTGATTTCAATGCAATTTGACGCTCTTGCTGCTCTTGCGCTCTCGCAAACATAGCTTTGCCTGTGCGTGTATGTGTGTGCAGAGCGCCAGATATTCGGGTGTCCCACTGCTGAGCTTTCTACAGTGTGCAGAAAGCTATCGAAACGGCAGCTGTTACAAAAGAGAACTCAGAACAATTGTTAGGCAAGAAAGGTGGCGGGTGGAGGAGAGCGTGCCAGGAAATGTGGCAAATTGGCCAAGTTGAGCCCCAAGCAGCAAATAATTTTGCTGTTGTGCGGCAACCCTCTTTGCATTTCGCAGCGTGTGCAGTGAAATGCTTTCTTCCCTTATCAGAGGCTGCCCCGGCCCTGGCTAGGCTGTAACAGCAGCAAGGACAATAAGGATGGTCGAGCGAGCAACTGCTCTACCTGCTCCTCTCTGCTCCTGTCCCCGTTCTCGCTACTGTCCCGTTGCGAAAAAGGGTTGCCGATCGACGCGAATGCAGCTGCTGTTGCTGCTGCTGCCAAGTGAAGAAAGTGATCGCCACTCAACCGGTAAAATAACGGCAGAAGAAAGTCGTCAGCCAACAGCCAACGGTTCGAGCTTCGTTCTGAAACATTTGGAGGAACATTCGCTCAATCGCCCGCCTGCGCCGCTCAGCATACGATCAGCGGATCTCTTGAGCGCTGCACGTGTCGCGCGCGACAGTTGGTCAATAAGCGCGCCAAATACAACATTGCCATTGTGAATGAGAGAGGACGACACATGTATACATGTATGCATGTATACGTATGTATGTGCATGCATACAGGGAATGCTCTGTTGAGCGGACACCCACAGACAGATGTGCCCTGCATACTTTTTATGATTATTCCCGTGTAAATGAAAATAAAATATTCAAAAATGTTTTCTATATAAAAATCAATTTCCGTACAATTTTTCCGCTAGAATAATTGTTTGTCCTACGCTAAACGCGCATACAAACATCGTATGTTATGTACATGCACATACATATATGCATGCATATAAACGTACGCACATGCATACTATACGCTCATCGAGGCATACATTTGTATATGTATACACCTACACATATAAGCTACTGTATTTCTTGACACCGAAAATTTGTTTTATTTTTGTTAATTTTATCGAACCTTCACTGTCCACACAGATGTACATATACATATGTACATGCATGTGTGTGTAGATATGTATTCGTAAGCCGATTCCGCAACATCATAATGATGCCCAAATCAGAGCAGCCGCCGTCGACGCAGCGACAGCAGCAGCGACCGAGGCACATAAACTCTCTCGTTCGCTTCCTTTTTGCCTTCGCTAGTCATGAGATTTTTCTGCCCGGATTTCTCAGCTCTACACACTCAGGCTTCGGCTTTCGGCAGCAGCATTCTTGAAAAACTAAGCCAGCAGTAACACGAATCTCGTCATGTGTATGTGTGTGTGTGTGTACGAGTGTGTGTGTGTGTGTGTTGTGTCGTGTCGCTGAATTCTTGGAAATTTCTAATGAACACAAACACAAAAAGGAGCACACAAAAATGTAGTAGAGAACAAAAAAAAAAATAAAATAAAAAAGATGAACAAAAACTACAGAGAAAAAAAAAACGAAACCGAAATAATGTGGATCAAACGCACGCTAAATGAGTACAAACAAGCGGAACGTGAGAAGAGCCATGAGAATCAAGTAAGGCACACACACACACACACACACACGCGCGCAAACACTCGCAGGCACATGGCTTTTGGTATGGGTATATGGATGAGGGCATGTGCGCCGACGCAGAAGACGCCGCATCATATGCATAGAAGTTTGGCATTTAGAGCGCGATACAGGAAACAAATGCACGAGCAAGAGAGAAAGTGAGAGAGGGAGACGAACAGAAGGAGCGGGAAGGGGGGCGGGGGGCAGATGCAGCGCCAGCGCCTAGAAGAAAATAAGTATGCATGCAAACGATTGCTGCCAGCATCGGCCTACTCCACACACGCACACATGCATGCATGCATGCATGCATACATGTATGCACGCATGCGTGCATGTGTGCATATGCATGGGACACAATGGCCTTCAGATGACAGTGTGACCCATGTCGCTTATATCCCGCCGAATAATGTGGCCTATTTTTTGATGCGTCAAAAATTCATTCAAATATATCTGTTTTTTATATAATTTACATTTAATTGCTGAACCTTTCTTAATTATGTAAGTTCTTATTTAATTTTTATACAAATTTGTCCTTTTTGTTAATGGAAATAGAGAGTTTTTGGGATTAAGACTCGGTTCGAACAAGAAACAGGCAAGTTCAAGAGTTGTCACAAATATAATTAACCAGATGTCAATAAAAACAGAATTGAGCTTGGTTCATTTTCAATTTCAATTTTATTGTTGACCCGCTCTCGGGCTGGACCTTTCGACAATTCCCACAAATTGTGTGCCGAGGCGCCTAAGCAGGATGCGTTAGGGCAGGGCAGGACAGGGCAGGGTCCACATTGAATCTAAGCTAAGCTTGCCTTTGCATTTGCTGTACCTGCAATTTGACACACACATACACACACACACACACACACACACACTGAACGACTACCTGGTCTCTGGACTGTGGCCCTGTTTCGGAGCTGTCTTTAAAATTTGCATCCTGTTTGGGCATAAACTCGACGTCCTTCTACTCTTCCGCTGGGCCACACGCTCTTTGACCGCGCCCGCGCATTGCCGCACCCCCCTCCCCTGGCCGGTGGACTGACTGGACCTGCCCCTCTTGTACTTGATTTCATTCAAATGCCCATTTGATGGGATTTGTTTTCTCGTTTATATTTTTCTATAATGCTCAATTCCCTCCGCTTTAACCGCCGATCGGTGTTTGATCAACGCGAAACGAGTTTGGTTTGAACGTAGCGAGAGAGAGAGAGAGGAAGGGGGCGGGATAGAGCGAGCGGGTGTGAGGAGGATGACCGACTCGGCTCTACGGGGGTGTAGCCTGAATGAAGCACACACTCACACTCACACTCACACTCGCACGCACACAACAGCAGCTGCTGCCTGCCACACATGGCGTATACGTGATGCGTCAAGCAAATCTACTGAAAGCCCAGCAGTTGCTGTGCGCCTGGCCTCTGCCTGTCCTTTGCCTGCCCTCTGCCTGCTTGCTGCCTACTAATTTGAGTGTCAATCGCAAGGATGCGGCAAGGACATGTCGCAAGATCAGATAATCGAATCGATGGGAATCAAATATGAGGCAATATCAAGCTGGAGCTGCGATCGTCGCGCCAGATTAGAATGCGATACGTCTAAGGCACAAAAGATACAAAGATACAACACACGCACGCACACACACACACACACACACACACACACACACACACACACATGCATTTGACAGCCAAAATGACATTTGAAAGCCAACTCAATAGGGTGAATGCTGCGATTAGAAACTCAGCCCACAGCTCGCGGCAAAAGGTAACAAAAAGGGTGCTTTGCTCGCTGCTATCTACCCTACTGCCCCGCCCTCTGCCCTCTGCCCCCCCCTCCTCGAACATACAAGACAAATTGGCGAATGGTTGCCGCGGCTCAGATCTCAGTTACTTCACATCTTCAATCTGCAATCTTAAAGATGTTTTTTTTTTTTTTTGTTGTTTTTTCCTTTTCTTTGCAAGTGAACAAACATTAGAAAAAAAAAGGGCAGCCAAATCCTCGCGTATAATTAAAAAATTCCATGGCACAATTTCTAACAGAGGGGGGAGGCAGGCAGGCAGGCAGGCAGGCAGGGAGGGAGGGTGGTTGGTTGTTTGGTTGACGAGCTGACGGAAATGTGAGAAACTTGTTTAACAATTTGAACAGCCCAAAGGAAATGGAGAAAACGCAAGAGGAGGGCACCAAAAGTATCTAAGGCTCAACGCCAACTCAGGCGACGAAACCTGATTACACACACACACACACACACACGCACACACACGCACATACAAACACGGCAATAGGATCGTGGCAGTGGCAACCCTTTTCTAAGCAGCCTCCTGAGCAACGCCGCGGCATGTTTTCTTTGGCGGATTAAGCGGAAGAGGCTACAGAAAAAGATTTCGAGCTGCTGCCTTTGCCTAAGCTTGTGTGTCTGTGTGTGTGTGTGTGTGTGTGTGCGTGTGTGTGAGCTGCTTTTGCCTTTATGTGTGTTTCTTTTGGTTTCTATTAGAAATTAGTAAATTATTTTTTCCCCCTTTTATTTGCTGTATGTTGCCCTTGCCCTGCGCTGCTCCTGGGCACATTTACATACATGTGTGCAGCGGACGTCGACGTCGACGTCGGCGTCGACGTTGACGCGCAGCTTAGCCGTTGTCGCAACAAGCGGCTTAACGAGCGCGAATATTGCGTATGCGTCCGGGCGTACGCATACAAAAGCTTCGGCCATGAAAGCTTTCAAGCGCCGAACGCTTTATGGGCAAAAGAAAGATAAGTAGATCACGGAATCGTTGAAAGCTTCTCATTTCAACATGAAAATATCGTTGATCGTGAAGAGGAAAAGCTTTATCAGTGATCTTTAATAGCTCTTTCCCTTATTCAAAGTTAGACACTTAGCTTTTGATTGGCATGATATTTTGTTATATCGAAGATGGACTGACAATCTCTTACAGGAAAAGCTTAATCAGTGATCTTTAAAAGCTCTTCCCCTTATTCAGAGTTACACGAAGCTTTTGATTGGCATGATATTTTGTTATATCGAAGATAGACTGACAATCTCTCACAGGAAAAGCTTTATCAGTGATCTTTAAAAGCTCTTCCTCCTCTGATTCAGATTTGTATTATGCACTTGAGTTTCTAGATATTATGTGATATCGAAGATAAACTGAAAAACTTTCTGCCCGTAATTCAATTTAATGAATATTAAACATGCGATTACAAAAAATATCATGTTATATGGAAGATAGAGTGTAAAAGCAAAAGCTTTGTCAAAGATCTTTAAAAGTTTTCACCCTAATTCAATTAGATTTAAACATTATATCGAAGACAGGTCGCTTAAAGCTTTTCAATAAATGAGTCTTTGCTTGAAGTGTTTACATGTTAAAGGAAGTCGAACATAGATTGTTTTAAGTCTCTCATAAGGAAACTATGTTTAGAATTAGATTAAGGAAAGGGAGTGTTTTAATTTCACAAGCTTCACCTGATTAGAAAATGAATCAAGGATTAACAAAAAACGGAGTTTAAATGGAGAGCACAGAGATTGATTGAGTGAAAGAACTTTGATCTTTAATCATGGAGTAGGAGACATCAATGGATGTAATTTCGGTTCGGAAAGCGAAAGTCAATCAAATATTAAAGCTGATGGAACAATATGCCGGCGATTTAGGACTGTGATCATTTGATGGAAAAATGATCGCAGTTCGGCTGCAAAAGATTCGTAAGCTTTAAAGCTGAAACTAGTCAAAAGGAGCGATGCCAGTTGGCCAGTTTTGACAAGCAGATAAATGTACACACGCATCGTGTGTGTGCGAGTGTGTTGTATGGCTGTGCTGGGTAGGCAACCCGGAGGCGATACGATCTTTGCGATCTTTGCCGTGATGGCTTGGCCGTGTCACACGCAGTGTGACAGATCCTGGCGCATTGTGTGTGCCCATCGAGGGGTGTTGCCGCCTTGCGAGGAGGCACTCAACATTGCCCCTGGGCACAGGTAGCAGCGGGTTAGCGGGTTAGCTGGTAGATCCTAGCGCCGCCGCTGTCTCTGGCCCTGGTTCTTGCTGCTGTTGCTGCTGCCATGTGACAATGATAATAGCTGCTCGCTACTCTGCTCTGATCTGATCTGGCTCAGTGTTTACTTACACCACTTGAGCTTAACTCGGCGGCGCGGCCGGAAGTTGATGAGGGTCGAATTCGCTTGAGTTGGGTTTTTTTTTTTTTTTTTCCTTTTCTACTTCTTGTTTTGGGTTTTGGTTTGTGAGCATCTCAGGGCTCGCCTTTTGGGTCTGAGAGCTTTTTTTTGGACTTTTTTTTTGGATTTGTTTTTTTTTTTTTGATATGCCCAATTTATCACAGGAAATTAGCTGCTATTTAGCAACGTTGTATGCTCAAAAGAGGGCCAGGGCCTGCGGAGGCTTGCCAGGAAGCGGAAGGTAGGCGGCCACCAGGCCAAATAGTTGCCGCAGCAGCCTCTCAGGCAGCGGGTGTGCCACACACACACACACACTCGCACACACTCGCACACACAAAGGCAAGTTTCTTGTTATTTGGCGTGATAATTTGTGCAATTGTGGATTGCTAGCAAAGATGAGCTGCTGCTGAGATGATGCTGCTGCCTACCCCCTCCTCTTCCCCCACAGCCCCTTGTTGGCCCTACTGGTTTGCAAGATGAGCAAAGGGGGGTTTAGGGTTACGGCTGAGACAAACAGACAACATTGACACAGCGCGTGAGTAAGGCGTAGCTTAAATGTTATGCCGCCATTTTGAAAAGCTTCCAGAGCTCTCTCTCTCTCTCTCTCTCTCTGTGTGTGTGTGTGTGTGTGTGTGTGTGCTGATACAGGAAATCGAACTAATTGACACGCTCTCCCTCTCTCTCTCTATCAAGATAGCATTGAGTAAATCCCGGTTAAAAAAAAAGGAAAGTTATCAATGAAAATGAATCAAATATAATTTGTCTGCGACAAACCGGAGATTTAATACCCTTGCAGATTGAACCTTTGCAGAAGCATGCTTAAGATATCTTCAAAAAACAGCAAGAAGCTACTTGTCGAACAATCCTTCCCATGGCAGCTTTATGATATAGCAGTCCGATCCAGCCAATCAACTCGCCTCTTTATACTAATCTAAAATGTTCAAATTTGCTACCGTGTTTCTAACGTATCGCAGGAATACAAATAGAATAGGCCTAAAGGACAGACAGCATTTAGGAAAGACAAGAGCTGCTCAATGCGGACAATTAGCATTTGTAGGCAAATATTAGCTTGATGTTTGGCTACTTTAAAAGAAAGCCAAACCTATTAAAGCCCAGACAATGCTCCGTGAAACGCGAAAAACAAAACAAGGACAAGGGAAACAAACAGTTCTGAAGAGCTCGAGAGCTGTCTTCCTTATAGACACACGCAGATATATGTTCAAAGCTCTACAAAGCTGCACAACAACTACGAAGGATATGGGGTAGGGGGTAGGGGGGTAGGCTGTGGTTTATGGGGATGTGTGGTGGTGGGGGGATTGGGGTAGGGTGTTGGGGGCATTTTACTAAAGACTCTACTAGAAGCTTATACACAAGTAACTACATATATATGTATGTATGTATATCAGGAGGAGGAGAGAGAGACGACACATGAGATCAAATTACAGAAGGGCGTAGAAAATGGTTAATTATGGGGTTTGATGGTTGGTGGAGTGGGGGCGGGGGGGGGGGGGTTGTATTGGGAGTTGTTTCTCGCGTTTTATAATCAGTTATAGAAGTAGGGGTAGAAATTGGTTTGGATAAATACCTTGAGGTGCCAGCACCTTCCAATTGCTGCCGATCCAATGGCGGATCGAAGATTTGCTCGCGATCCTCTTTCGATAATTCCAAATCGGCGAATTGATCCAGCTCGGAAGCCATCTTTAAAAGCTCTATTTACTGGTTTTTTGCTTCTTCTTTGTTTTTTCTTCTTTTCCTTTTTCTTCTTCTTCTGTTTCTTCTTCTTCTAATTGCTGCGGCGGCGCGTTTGAGCACTTTTTAATTGGTTTCTTGTTTTAATTTGATTTTCTTTTGTATTTGACTTTTCTCTGGGATCGGTTGGGAGGGGGTGTTACTTTTGCAGGGGGGTCGTGTCTTGTTTAGGTATTTCGACAAAAAAAAAAAAAGATTATATATATACGTATATATTGTATAATAGCAATTATCTCGTAGTTGTTGATCTGGCAACTCTGGAGTCACGTTTCGCCTTAGAAAACACTTGAAATTTTTGGATTTAGTTTAGGGGTTTGTTTGTTTTTTTTTTTTTTTTTTGATATATATGTATTCCGGGAAAAGTTTTCGCAGCTTGATTTCGGGTCGTGGAATGCTTCAAAAGGACGTTTCTCTGTTTGAATTTTGGCGCTTAGTTTTTGCATTGACTCATGTCCTTGTTCGTATGGTTTTTTTTTTATATTCTTTTTTTTTTTTTTTAGTTTTGATTTGTTTCGTCGTTTGGTTTTTCTCGTTTGGTTATCAAACAAATGTTGTTGTATATTTTTTGAACTCGAGAGAAATTGTCGTTAACAGTTGTTTAATTTAGTTATTGTTGTTGCATCTTTTTCAATTATTTTCTCTTGTTTTGCGCGTTCGATTTGTTGTTGTTGTTGTTGTTTTTTTTTTTTTTTTGAAACCTTTTTGTATGTTTTTTATAGTTTTTTTTTTTTTGCTTTTGATTATTTTTGATGTCTTTTCAGTGAATTTCGAAGAAAAACTGTTGATGTTAAAATGTTGTCCGAATCGAAAAAAAAAACCCTGTTAAATGCGTCAATTTGGCCAAATTAGGTGAAAACCTGCAACGTAGGAAGAAAGACATAAACATTAATTCAATTTAGCAAGCGGAAAATGCATAAGGTTACATTTAACAGTTAATGATCATCATACTAAAATGGCAGACAAGCTGGCAAGGCCAGCCACACACACACACACACACACACACACGCACAAGTTGCGTCTGAATGCATACAAGTGCGATGGCAAAAATAAAAACAATGGCCGCTTCGTTAAAGTTCAACGATGAACCCATTTGACCGCCCCCTACTCCTAGCGCCATTTGCAACTAGCGTGCGAATGAGTGAGAGTGAGTGCCGTTGAAGAGCGCAACAGCTGTTACAGCAATCAGTGATCACAGTTAGGCAGGCGAGGAGAGGCCGGCCGGCCGGCCGGCCGGCCGGCAAGCAAGCAAGCAACACGTTGCGACATGTTGCTAACCAAACAGCGAGCAGAGCGACCTGCAAAGCTTTTTGGTATTGCTTTTATCATCAGGCGCTGGCAGCGACGCCATTGAGTGGGCGCACGCTTCCGTCGACGCGAGAGCGGGTGCCGCATTCGCATTAGAAGAGATTTAAGCAGTGCGTGAACAGAAAGCAGAGAAACCGAAAGAGAGAGAGAGAGCGAGAGAGAACGAGCTTTGCTGCTGCTGCCGTCGTTGTCGTCGTCGTCGTCGTCGTCATGTTGACTTTGATCTTGGGCCGTGTATTTGTGTGCGTGCGTTGGTGTTGCTTTTTTGGCAATTGTTTTTGTTGTTGTTGGCATTTTTTGTTTGTGTGGTGAATAAGTAGGCGCAAAGCAAAATCACGAAAGAAGAAGAAACCAAAAAAAAAAAAAAAAAAAAAATACAATTTACTTCACAAAACGAATACCCAAATATAGTAAAAATCAGTGCTCTAATTTGTTTGTTTGTTGTAAATGCGATTAGAAGACGCATATTGTTCTATGTTTAACTGATTTTTGCTTACTTCGCTGATTGCAGTTGTTGTTGTTGCTGTTGTTTTATTTATTTATTATATATATATATATATACATATATATATATATATTTTTTTGGTTCCCGCCAGCTGCTATGTTTGTTGTAATTTTTGCGCAGATGATGTCAGAGCTCGTTTAAAAACTTTTGTGTTTGTTATTTCTGCGTTGACTTTGTATTTTGCATTTGTTTTTGACTTTGCAGCGAGCGTATGCTTCAATAAACATGCGGTTTCTTTTTGAGAAATTATGTAAAAAAAAATAAAAAAAGACGTGTATTTAATTTGTTTTATTTGCTTCAAATTGTTTGTCACTTGCTTCTTGCTTTTGCTTTTCGCTGGCACTGACTGAAAAACAGCAACAATAAAAAAAAATAGCGCAACAAACTAAAAGAAGACAACACAAGTTGTTAAGTTTCGTGCTGTGTAAAAAAAAAAAAGGCACACAACACACAAAGTGCGGGGCGGCAAACACGCGTACGCACGCACACGCACACAAACACACACACACACACATACACATAGACATAAAATATGCCACGAAAAATAGCAGCAGCAACGACATCAAAAAAGCAAAAGCTGCTTGCCCCGCCCTCTCCTATGCTGGCCGGCCCGTCAACTATCCCCGCTGTCCCCGCCAACGCGACAACTATTAACTCAATGTTGTGCTTGCTGTTGCTGCTGCTGCTGCTAATTATGAAATGTAACAGACAAGTACGAGTTTAACGGTAATCATATTTCTTTCTTTTACAGCTCTGCTAAGTGCACAGTTTTTGGCAAATTGTAATAAGCATTGCTATGCATTAGTATGCAAGCCTGTGCATGTGCATGTGTATATGTGTGTGTGTGTTATTGGCTTTGAATGATTTTGCTTCTCTATTTTATGTTCGGTTATGATTTTTTTTTTTTTCGTTTGATTTGAACGTTTTGTGCGCGCTCTTTATTTTATTTCGTTTTATTTCATTTTTTCTTCTTTTGCTTGCTTACGTTTAGGAACGAACGAACGAACGAGTGTAGAAGAAACAACAGCAGATCAAGATCACTTTGCGGTTTCTCGAAAATTGAAAATAAAAACTATTTACGAACAAACACAACAGAGGAAAAAAAAACAATGAACGACGGCGGCGACGGACACGTTAATGCATATTTCAACTTTTATTTGCGTTTCTTTCTTATTTATTTATTTTATTTTATTTTTATTTTTGAATGCTTTGCCTTAATGCCGAAAATATTCTGCCAATAATGCTTTTTTGACGACCTTCTTTCTGCTGCGGCGTTCCAAATACAAATGACTGAAAGGAATTGGGCTTCCAAATACTAAAATGACCGACCGACGTGCATGCGGCATTCTGGCGGCAGCCGCAGCGGCGACAGCGACGGCGACGGCGACGGCGACTGAGACATCAGCAGCAGTAACAGCAGCAGAGCCCAGAGAGTGTAAGAGGAAAAGAGAGCGACAGAGAAAAAGAGCTGAACGCGCTAGTTAGCGCTGCCTAACAGAGCACAGAGTGCGTAACATTTATCACTTAACAGTTCCACTCAAGTATTTTTCGGCCGCCAACGCTCTGCCGCCTTAGCCGAAATTCCTATGCTTATTACACACACACACACACTCAGCACTAACAAACACATACATATTCACACAGCGGCAGAAGCAGCACTCGTAGTGGCAGCGACAACGGCAGCGACGGCATCGACCGCGACCGCAGCCAAGCGAAAGACAGCACACAACAAAAGCAATGTGCGATGTTTTCGTGTTGCCCCTCACTGTGCTAGTGTGTGTTTGTGTGTGTGTGTGTGTGTGCGTGTTCGCCGCTTTTGCCGAAATTTAATGAGTGAGTGTGGAATGAGAGAATAAGCACCGCCAATTCAGCAAACCGAGTGAGTCGCAAACTCAACTCAAATACTTGAACGCAAGTTTGATAAAAAGCAATAGTTCGCATTAAATAGTTAAGAGTAAAACAATCTATGTACATATGTATATACATGTGAGCATATGATGTATGTAAATATGCATATGATATAAAAAATTTCTGCGAAAACCCATTAAAGTTATTTTGCTAAAAAGATCGGCCCCCCGGTTGAGCGCAAAAGTCGAAACTCAGACCTCAAACCGCGACTTAGAACTCTGACTCAGACTCAAGACTGTTGACGCTGAGTTGGACTCGGGATTCGGAGCCGAATTGTGACTCAAAAAACAGCCTGGAACTGGAACCGGGAGCTTTGGCTACGTTCACAGCCGTATTGGGAATAGAGTGTGACTGTGTTGTGTGTGCGCCTGTACGTGTGTGTGTGTGTGTGTGTGTGTGTGTGTGTGTGTGCTTGTGTGAGTAAGCAGATGCCAGGATAATGTTGCGCTGCGTCGCCGTCGACGTTGGCGTTGCCAAAAATTGAATGCGGCGACGACGACGACGACGGCGACGACGACGACGATGGCGGCGCTTAAGCGCTTAAAGGAAGAAGGAAGCAGAAAAGGAAGTGAACTGCGAACACTCTGCTCCGGGCTGTTAGCACCGAAGGCAAATTGAAGCTCAAATATATGTACATGCATGTGCACATACATATGTACATACATACATACATACATACATACATACATACATATGTATGTATGTGTCCGCGATGTGCAAACAGCAAATGAGATAAAATGAAGTGTGTCCCTGGTCGAGTGTAGTCGACGGCCAGATATCCCCCAAAAATGCGTTGCATACGTGAGTGTTAATTCAAATCGAAGTTTAACAAATGAAAAGCTTTTAAACTGTAAGTCAACAGACTCAAGCAACAATTTGCAGCAAATGAAGTATACGCGCCGATACACACTGCTTGAGATGGCAACAGGGTATTCCTGTATCGAATGCGCCGTATGGCAAGGCCAACTAATCCATGTGAGTCCTGAAGACAGCTCCTCAGCAGCAGCAGCAGCAGCAACAGCAGCAGGCGCAACCTCAAGAGATTATCTACACACACACACACACACACGCACACACATTTATATTAATTGATGAGTTATTGAATTTTGTTTGTTCTAAAGCTGACATTGACAAGTTAAGCAACTAAAACTATATTTAATTAAGCTCAAGCTAGCTGCAAAGAGATCCTTCGAGCACTTTAAAAGCGCACAGCATCAAAAGTTTAGCTCCAATTAGTCGCAGCTTTTAGTTAACTGAATATTGTTTGGTAAGCAATAGAAATATAGCCACAATTAGATATAGATTATTTGTAGTAATTGTTAGCCAAAGGACTTTGCAGTTTTCAGTTTTAATTGTTGCAATTGAACTGAAGAGAACACTTAAGCAGAACTGAATCGAAATCAAGGACAAAACAAAACTTTATGGAAAATGAAGCTCATGTCAAGTATTTGATAAGATTGCGATTGCGCAACTTCAACTTTGATCATTATCCCTTTATAAGCCAAGCAGCTGGCAGATTCCCATTCCCATTCCCATTCCCATTCCTATTCCCATTCCCATTATCTCTTCTCTGTGGAATATTTAATATAGTTAGCATAAGCTTCATAAGACGTTGCGAAGCCTCAAGAGAGCCAACTTCGTATAGATCAAATCGAGTTCTGTTTAAACTTGATAACCGATTCTATAAGTTAGTTAATTTATTAGAAATATGTGAAGCCAACTTCCAATTCAGTTTAATTGTGTCTATTTGTTGCAACACACCTAAAACAGGTATTAATATGAACATAATATGAGTTGAAGTTTTTAAGAATAAAAAGTATTTAATGCCTGCGTTAACTGAATATAAATAGAATCTAAATTGATTTTCTTAGTATTAGTTTGTAATTTAAATCAAAATGAATATTGAAAGCAGCCCAACTTTTTACTTTAAATATTTTCTATTATTAACAAGAAGAAAACTAGTTGCTGGGCTGGCACACGCACACACACACACACACACAACTGCAGTCGATATTTATTCATATATATATATATATATATGTGTGTGTGTGTGTGTACACAGTGGGGATATATGCGTACATATTTGCATCTTTGACCATTTTTGCAATTGTGCTACAAATTAAATAATATCAACTTTTACCGCAGCCATATGTCATACACACACACACACACACACACACACACACGCGAAGAACTTCAAGGGCAGACGCTAGCAAAATGCCGGACACTTGTTGCATATGCAACTGCCCCGCTGCCCTGCTGCACCGCTGCACCGTTGCCTTTCCGCTCGCCTCTCACTTTCTGTCTGTCAGATTGTCCGTTTGTCTCAGTCGCAGCCAGGTGCAGGCCAGAAGATGTGCCAGCCGAAGGGGCAGGCCAAGTGGCAGCAACGCACGCGTCGCAATCAAAACAAAATCAGCGAGCAACAGGAGCAGGAGCAGGAGCAGGAGCAGGGACCGCGTTGTTGTTGTTGTTGTTGTCGCAATTGCAATTGCAGTTGTTGAAGGTGACATTAATTGACGTTTAATGGGCAAAAAAGCAAAAGACGAGGGATGGCCGCAGCAAATGCAAGCCACAAAATGATAGTAGAGAGAGAGAGAGAGAGAGAGAGGCAGAGAGTGAGAGAGAGAGACAGAGGCAGAGTGAGGGAGAGAGAGAGAGCGAGCGAGAGCGCATGAATTTTATTGCAGCAGGCGACAAGCCAATTAAAGCCGAAAGCTTTTCATGCCTTTTTATTTGCCAATAATTCAAAGACACAAAAAGTGCATCCTCTGCCATACAAAAGCCTCGCGCCCAGGGGTTAAAGGTAAAAGGTTGCCGCAAGCGACCAAAAGGGGGTTGCGCCTGCAGCTTCTGTTGTTCGCATACAAATCCCTGCACACGCTGCAGCGCATAGTTTGAGGGGTTAGCCTACGGAGGGGGGGTGGAGTGCAGGAGGGGAAGGAGAGTTGCTGGCCCGCTGGGTTAGTGGGCGTGCAATTTGCATGCAGCCAGCAGTCGGGAGTCGGCAGACGGGAGTCGGCAGCGAATGACAGACGAATGCAAAGAGCGCGGCTTCACAGCTGCTGCGCGTTGCAGCGACTGCGGCAGCGGCAGCGACAGCGACAGCGGCAGCGGCTGCACTGGCTGCCAGCGAAGGGTTCCTGTGTGTCCTCTACAAGTATGTGCATAAATGTGTGTGCTTGCACAACAAGTGCAACACAAAAATGGCGCGCGCAGCAACTGCAGCAGCAACCCTGCAAAGTATGCAATAAAAGGCAAATGCCGATTGTCTAGGTGTGGGTGTGTGCATGTGTGTGTGCGTGTGTGCGTGTGTGCGAGAGCGAGAGAGCCAACAATAGGCCTGACAAAGCAGCCTGCGAATGGCAGCGGGCATATTTATGTGTGCAAGTACGTGCTGTGCGTGTGTGTTTGTGTGTGTGTGTGTGTGTGTGGGTGCGCATTGCAATGCGAATTGCAGTTATCGAAGCACACACACACACACACGCATGTCCGTATGTCAGGCCTAGCAAAATGGAGGCGGGCAAGCAGAGCTTCGAGGCAGTCGATCAGCGTTAATTGAGAGCGAATGGCAGCGCGCATAGCTATGTGTGTGTGTGTGTGTTTGTGTGTGCGCGTGCGTGTGTATGCATGTGTGTGTTTGCGAATTTACATGCAAAATGCAATGCAATTACTCAAACACACACACACACACACAAGTTTATGGGGCCAAGCAAAGCTTTTGCTCAGCTGGATCAGCTGCAAGGCAGAGACAGAGAGAGAGAGAGAGAGAGAGAGAGGTTCAACAGTCGTGCGTGCAGAAATGCAACAGATAGACTTGAATATGTACATGTATTAGTATATATGTCTGGTGCAGCAAAATGGCGGCCGCGTTTTGGGCAAAAGCTTTAAAGCAACAGGATCAGCATAAGCTAATGCCTGAGAGAGAGAGAGTGAAAGAGAAAGCAGGAGACAGTAACAAATACACGCTGTCCGCAGCAGCAGCAGGGACAACGGCCAAAAATTGAAAGAAAGACAAAATAATACTGCAAAAGCAGCCAAAAAATTAATGAAAAAAAAAAAACTGAGAAAAAAAAAAGGAACAACTTTTAAAACGAGTGTCCCGCCGAACAATGGGAACGCAACAAACGTTGTGTCTATTGTGCGTGTCGTGTGAACAGAACCAGAGCTCAGCAACGGGATGAGGGAGCAAGAGCGAAGGATCAGCAATCAGAAACCAGGACGAGTTGCCAGTTGCCGGTTGCCAAGGCAAATACTGAATAAAACAGGACATTAAACAATTATGCACGAAATGGCATCAAGAAAGCAAAAAGCAAATGGCACAGACAAACACACACACACACACACACACACACGTGCAGACGAGTAATTCAATAAGCTGAAACGGGCCAGGGAAAGAGGATGGGGGGGGGGGGCAGGTCTATGGTGTGAGCGAAGGGGGGGCAGCCATAGCTGATAGAACTAGTATGCGAATAAAGATTATATAACTATGCAGGAAAGGAGATATATATATATAGAGAGAGAGCGAGAGAGAGCGAGAGAGAGGAGAGCGGAAAGGAGCGAGAGCTTATGACGCGAACGCGCCTGGCTCAAGGACAACCGCATCACATAAAGCGCGCGCGCGCGCTCTCCTCCGTCGGTACAGTTATGCAGCTAGCTGAAAGCTTTTTCGCGCTGATCCCATTAGTGCTGGTCACAGGGGCGTTATCTAAAAGGGGGGGGGGGGGGTGGCGTGTTGCATAATCCGTTGTGTCCGCTGAGAGCTGGCCACACTGGCTGCCGCGATTTCCGCAGTCTGTGGAATGCGCGCCCCCTGAGAAATTTGATTCTAATTTTATGCTGCGCTCGCAGCAGACTCTCTCGCTCTCTCTGCCCCCTTCCTCTCTCTCACTCTCTCACTCGCACTCCCACGGCCATTTCCAATTGCTCTCATTCACTTGCACTCTCTGCGATTTTGCGGCTGTTGAACTTTTGAATTGATTTGAAAGCATTTTGCGCGTCTGCATGAAGAAGACTTGAGAATGAATGCATTAAATTTAGCCATGCCACAGACACAGCTATGTGGATTAGACAAGCGATCTACGCGCTTGAGTCGGGGGGCAGACAGAGAGACAGAACGAGAGAGAGAGAGAGTGAGTGAGTGGAGAGAGGCGAGTGGGGCAAACGCCAGACAGCTTCAGATTCATTCATGCCACGCGCCATCGCCCCACTCGGCATTTAAAATAGACAGACACAATTCCCGAATGCATCGCCCCAAACTGACTTAAAAATAGGCAATCAAACTGCCACGGCAAATGTGCAACTGCAGCAGCGATGCAAAGTTGCAGTTGTTGCCATAGATATTACATAAATTCAATCTCATAAATACCTCTGGCATAGTCCAATTAAATCTATCGCCTCTCTCTCTCTCTCTCTCTCTCTGTTTGCCGAAATTCGTTTCAAGAATTAGAAAAAACTAAATATTCCCTTTATCTAAATCGGATATACGCACAATTCCAGACTAGTTGCTTGTCTGGAAGTTTATGCAAAGCTTTATTTAAAAACCAAAACCAAGTTGATCTCTTACATAGATGAGATTCCAAGATTTGGCAGCTCAATCGAATTATGAGGAAATGGAAAAGACAATTATAAGAAAAGGAACAAAAGAAATTATTGATTGTATCTTACTTTGATAATTGCTATAAATGAATTCTAGAAACTGACTTTAATAACGCACATATATTCTATATATTAGATATTCGATACGACACACAAACAAACATTGGATACAATTCTTAATAATTTGTTTAAATTAAATCTAAAAGAGTTAGACGTTCTACATTAGACATTCAACTATAATATATATGTGGGCTCCAAGAATGTTCCGCTTGCTTTTCCCAGAAACTCTCTTTAATAACTGCTATAATCAAATCTATCTATATCGCCTAGAATCCTACTTTTACAGTTGCCAGAAATCAAATCTATAAGAGTTATTCTCTATTAGTCGGGATAGTCTTGGGGACTGTAAGCAAGTATATCCCAGGTTCTGCTTGATTCTTACTCAAATCTAGTTAAAATCGTACACTTATAATTGGACATGTTTTCTATATAATCTATATAGGCTTGCATAAGACGGGATTTGATTGAAGCGCAACTAACATATGATTGATTGTGCTGTAGATAGAGTATATCTTTAGCCAGAGGGATAACATTGCACATAGGAAATTGGACATTGCAGACATTTCGACAGAATATGATCCTTAATAGTTATGTACATAAATTGTAGACATAAGCTCAATATGCGTGCTGTTGGCATTTGATTGAAGCGCAATTGAGATATTGATTGATATGGCAATATGGAGTATAGATGAAGTACATCTAGATATGCGGCAAGAACAGATACTTACAGATTCCTGCTAGCTTTGATAGATTGATTTGACTGTTACGGTTTGGGCCTGGCTATTGGTAATTGTTTTCTTGTTGTTCTTGTTGCTGTTTTTGTTGTTTTTGTTGTTGTTGTTGTTGTTGTTGTCAATGGCCCAATATTCAGTTGTTAGAGTTATGATAACGATGCGGCGTCAGCTGTGTCAGTGATTATCTGGTATGAAACGAAGAGCAGCCTGTTTAGGTACGGCAAAGAAGGTTCCTCTTGAGTCAAATATCGATCACTGTAGCTGCTGCTGGGCTGCTCGGCTGCTCTGCTGCTCTGCTGCTCTGCTGCTCGGCTGCTCGTTTTAGCTTTTGCTGACTGTCAACTCGATTGTTTCTGGATGGTTTTATATGGTAGATCGTAACTCTTCTGATTTAGTTGGTAGGGGCCCACTTGCGATTTTGCGTTGATTATGGCTGGATCAGTAGATATGCATGTGAAAAATGCGAGCGTCGTCTAATGGACTTGATCGAAAATTGTCTGTGGCTATCTGTATATATAAACATATATATATAGATATGTGTATGTATACATATATATATTGTCTATATGGACGAATTTTAATTAAGTGCCGAAAATTTGTGGGGAAACGACAAATGATGATAGAATTGCTCGGTTTGGATTTTATGATGTGTTTAAATACTTTTTGGATTTTTATTTTGGATAATTTTTGTTGTTGAGGGAGAAAAATTGAAACTGACGAGTGAAATGAGTTGATGAATTGTTCCAGAGCGTTATGAAAACTGAAATTAACAGCACTGCAAATGCTGTCTAAGTTTCTCTCTCGTAAACAACTATCGAATACCCAATTACAGCGCCCGGCCAGTGTTGGAAAACGAATGAGCGCGTCGTCACAATTTGAAATTCGATTGATTTTCGGGTACCCCCCTTCCCCTATGAAAAAAAAAAATAAAAAAAAACAACAACATCAAGAAAAACAACAAAAAAAAACACATCAAATTTGGAAATTCTCTTTCGGGGTTTTTTTTTTTTTTTTTTTTTTTTGGGAGGCTTATTGATTTTTGCGTAGGTGACAAAGACGTCGACGACGACGGCGACGGACCGCTCACTACAACAGAATCAGAAAAGTTATGGGCAGGGGCAGGGGCAGCGGTAAGGGTAAGGGTAAGGGTACGGGTCAGGGTACGGCTATGGGAATGGGAAAGAGAGCGATGCTCTCTGGGCATACGGTAGGCTAGCTGTGCGAGCAGGACAGCAGCAGATGCGTGCGAGTGCGTAGGACGCCGAAGGCGACGGCAACAGCGACGTCGACGTCGACGTCGACGCTAACGCTGACGGAAAACTGGAAAATGCTTGCTTACAATTACAAAATATCAATTGTTTAATTTTGGTTTTGCTTTGGGTTTTCGTAGCTTGTTATCGGCATCGGTATCGTTATCGATATTTGTATGGCTGATATTGATATTGGTATCGGTATCGGGTATCGGGCCGTACTTTTTCCACTGGATTTGCCGTTCTTTCACTGTTTCACTCAACCACCAGACAAAAAAAAAAACACAACAACGTTGGCGACGACAGCGGCGATGGACAACGCTAGTGTCCAGAAACGAAATCGGGTCCAATTTCTTATTATATATATAAATATATATATAAATATATATATTTTATTTATTTTTTTTTAATTTTAATCTTTTTGCTTTTGGCTTGGTTTCAGTTTCGATTTCGGTTTCGGTTTCGAGAGCTGAGAGTCGAACGAACGAACGAACGCGCGGCACGGCGACGAGTAAACTGGCAACGACGCTCAAATGTTGCAATGAAAATGTCTGTGGAAAATTCACGCAGCAGCAGTAGCAGCAGCAGCGGCAGCGTTAACAGCCGAGCAGCTGCCGCTGGCAGAGCGCTTGCCGACGCATTTTTCCTATCCAGAAACAGTGAAAGTTGTGCGTGAGTTGCTCTTCTTCTTCTACTAATAGTAGTAGTAGTAGTTGTTGTTGTTGTTGTTGCTATTGCGGCGGAGTCAAATCAAAATGGCTGGCACGTGTATGTGCAACTGTGCGTATGCACGTGTGCGTGTGTGTGTGTGTGTGTGCGAACGGCGTCTATCCGCTCGTTTATCCGTCCGTCCGCTTACAGCGAGCATTTTCAAAGTCGGAGTCGCAGTTCGAGTCGCAGAGCAGGCGTTGCTCTCGCCTGTTGTTGTTGTTGTTGCACTCGGCCTATCCCACAGTGCCTACAAGCAGTTGCCAGACTAAGTGATTGCAATCAGATTAGAAAAAAATTAATAAGTTGGCAAATTAATTAAACATGCAAATGCTCATTCAAATGTTTTTAACTATGTTTGGATATATTAAAGAGTTCGTCATATATAATTTTCTAATATTCAATTTATGTTTTAATTAAAATAATATAGGAATCGGAAGAAACATTAAAATACTCTCATATGTTTGTAACTAAATGTGGATATTTAAGAGAATTATGGCTTTACGTTTTGAATAATAACATTATTTTTAAATTTAAAGTGTATTTTAAAAAAAGAAAGAATAATAAGAAGAGTCGCTAAACAATCAAATATTATGTAACTATATTAAATGTATATACATTATATTATAATATGATAATAAAATGCTTTTTTTTAATATTGAACCCGTATTTTCAAATTAAAATAATATCAATAAAAAATGCAACATTGTATCAATTGCATCAATGAATGTTGTTTGCTGGAACATTCAAATTTCGAGATTTTTTCAAGATAATATATTGGAGGAGAAATTTATATTAAAACAAAATTGTTTTCATTATTGTTTAAAATAAATATTATTATTTATTTTTATTTATCATATTCAATTTCTGTTCATTTTTCAATCGAACAACTAACTTTCAATTCACAAGCAATAAAAAAAAAATCATTTTATCAAGCAAAGGCTAGATTTTTGCCGTATATATAAAGAACTCGTTTTAAAGAAAATTCGAATGGATTTCCTAAAAGAAACGAAGAGGCGCATTAAGTATGATGACGTGTGACTTGAAGATAAGAGATTTATCTTCCTGCCATGCACAATCCGAAGGCAACGTGAAAGATAGTTGCCCTGAGCTGGACATCGAATGGGTTTACAGGCTGTCGCATACTTTTAGCTCCAGCTATTCCAGCTGTATTGACCTGTGCTCCTACATTGAGAGCAATAAAGGAGAAGAAGAAGAGGAAGAAGAGAAAAATAGAAAAAAAAAAAAATATAACAAGAAATAAAAACAACGCCGCCAACGTTCCAAACGGATAACCGAATATTTTCCAAGTGAGTGGTTTGGTCTTTGCTGGCAGCGACGTCGGCAGCGACGCGTTGACATTGGCGTCGCGGTCGCCGTTGCTCTCGGAGCTCTCGACAGCGGGTGCCGGAGCTCTCCAGCCAGGGTGAGAGCGTGAAAAGCGAATTTTCATTTCATGTTTGTCGTGGCGAAAAAAAAAAAAAAAAATACAAAATAAAAAATATAACTCCAAGAAAATAATGAAAAGCAACGCAGGAAAAATGAAAACTCACGTTGGCATTTTCTACAAGGGTGGCAAAGCCAAATGGCAACGTCGACGTCGACGTTGACGTCGACGTCTGACGCTCTCTGACGTTGCGACGAGTCTTTAGCGGTTGTGGAAAATACGGAAAATTCGTTCGCCTGTCTATGTATGCGCTTAAGTGTGTGCGCGAGAGCGTATATATATATTTATATATATATATATATGTATGTGTGTGTGTATGTGTTTGTATATACGTGTGTGTGTGCGTGAGTGCCTGCGCCCGACAGTCACGTTGACTGTTGAGTTAAGGTTGCTTCTGGCCGCGAATCCGCTATGATTTTATGTGAAAAGTCATCAAAGCACTCAAAGGAGCTTACGGCCCTGCTCTGAAAAGGCAGCGCGTCTTTGAGTGGATTTACCTGTGTTAGCGCCAGCTGCCAGCCAAAGCTTTTGCCGAGCCCATCAAACCATTTCTGTACTCTGAAGCAGCTCTCGAGCATATGCTAGTTTTGAATGCCCATTAACGATCCTCCCATTAGCAAAATGCACGCCAAATTGGTCCTCGAGTTAACAAGCTAACAAATTAGTTGCCTCAAAGTGCACTGCACGTTGAAGTGTCGGCTTAGCGCTTAGCAAAATGCTACTAATTTCAAGAAGAACGTTGAGACTCAGACAAATGCGCTAGACAATGCAAATTTATGATTAATCTTGCTTTAATATATCATTTAATAGCAGTCCTCAACAAACAAGTGAATTGTTTCAGTCATTTAGGGAATCAGAAAAATGGAATCCCGGTTTGAATCAAGGTTTGAATTTGCCTAAAGTATGAAAAGTCTGTGTTTTCTAGACTCGAAACAAACGTCGTTAGTGATCCAGCCAGAAGAAGGATCCTAGTTCGAATCCTGATTTTAATGTACCTTAAATTTGAACTAATCTAAATGATCCACTCATTAGGGCTATCGAAGCAAAAGGATCCCGGTTCGATTCAGGGTTTGAATACGTTTAAAATATGAATTCTCTGTGTTTTCTAGTCAAGAACCAGAAGGATCCTGGTTCGAATACTGGTTTGAGTTTACTCAAGAGATGAATGTCTTTATGTTCCACTCATTGACGCAATCGAAGAAGATGGATCACAGTTCGTAAAACATGAATTGTCTAAGTTTTCCATTCAAGGCCAAGAAAGTTACTCAATTCTCAATTCACTAGCAAAATGAAAGTCACAGTGTTTCAGTAATTAAGGCAATTGAACAAAAAGGATCCCAGTTCGAATCATGGTTCGATTTTACTCAAAAGAGTAGCTGTCAAAGTGTTTCAGTCATTGAGGCAATTGATCAACGAGGATCGCCGTTCGAGTCCCGCTTTGAATTTATTCAAAATATGAATTGAATTAATTTAAGCTCAATTATTCGTTAAATTACAGATTTCAGTTACTTTGAGGGCCAGTAAAAAACCCATTTGGCGAGCATCTGTTGAACGGAACTGAATCAGGCTCAGCATAATGTTAAATGCAGGGCATTTATTTAAACTTGGATTAGTTAAGATCACTTTCAATATGGTACTTAGTTGCATGTCATGACATCTAATATAGATAGTTGAAAATTAAGTATTGTGTTTGAGGAGCGATTATGCTGAAAATCATAATAATACTGATAATAGCAATAATGATAATAATAATAATAATAATAATAATAATAATAATAATAATAATAATAATAATAACAATGATAATAGCAATAATAATAATAATAATAATAATAATAATAATAATAATAATAATAATAATAATAATAATAATAATAATAATAATAATAATAATAATAACAATGATAATAGCAATAATAATAATAATAATAATAAATAATGATAATAAGAACAATAATTATAATAATTATAATATCAAAAATGATAATGATAATAAGAACAATAATAATATTGATAATGAAATCCATTAACATAAATTTCATCATAATCATATCATAATAATGAGAATTATTGTTCATGGAATTTTGTAGCATTTTTCATTATATTTTCACCATTTTTTTTAATATTATTAACCATTTGCTTTGTTCAGTGATGAGATCTATTACTTCACTCACTGGACACATATTCCATGATATTTCTGTTATGCTTGGACTCTAATGCGTTCAAGCTGGTGCCAGAGACTTGGATTGTGACCTTGCAACGTTTCGGTTGCTTCTTTCACATTTTCATTTACAACGCCCTGCTAAATCGGATGCGCACCCCAATAACGTGGCACTAGATGTGCTGTTGTTTGTTACCAACACAGCCCAAACGCACACACACACACACACACACACACACACACACACATAAATTTGTAGACATTCCCTTTCCAGTTTGTACGCGTTGAACACGTCCCATTTCCGAATTTTCGTGCGCGTCTTGCGTAGTTTTTCAACCCCCCAGGAACGGGTAGAAAACTGATGCGTATGCCTGGAATGTTACAGCCGGCGCTACCCTGGTCCGGGCTTGGGCCTCTGTCTCTGCCTCTGCCTCTGCCTGTGCCTGTGCCTGTGCCCTACCCCAGGGCAGCAGGCAGGGAAGCAACTGAACAACAACCACCCACCCCCGGGTGTAGTGCATAGTGCGTAGTTGGATTCGAATTTGGAAACGCATCGCGATTATGGAGAGCATCCTGGACCTAGTCAGGACTACAGTTACTCAGCTGAAAGGGGTGCTGCTCCCTTGCCCCCTCTCACTCTCCTGCTTCTCTCTCTCTCTCTCTCTGTCTAGTCGGTCTAGTCCACCACCACGAACCAAAAGAAACTAGTCGAGTATCCCGTTACGCGCTGGCTGCCATCTCTGTCGCACTCTCTGGCCATGGCCAGGATCGGAACGGCTGCAGATGATAAACGTGCTGGCGGCTTTTCGTGGACGACGTCCCGTATTTGGCTACCGCCCACCCCTCCCCATGCACCGCGGCACGGTTGTGCGTCGTCTGCGGCATTGTTGTGCGAGCCTTTGATTTTTTTTCCTTTTCTCTTTCTTTTTTATTATTATTATTTCATTAGATTGCAACCCTCATGATGTGACGACTACTGTGCGTGTCCTTTGTCCCGTGCCGTCGCCCTCGGAAGTGCGTAAAAAAATGTTTGCCAACATTCACCATTAGCC